CCCCAAAACCCCAAAACCCCAAAACCCCAAAACCCCAATTTTAGTCAATTTATAGAATCAAATATTTAAAAAAGAAATTTAAATGAGTATGGAAATCAACCAATGGGAAGCAAAAAGTATTGAAAGTGAGCTAGATCGAATAAGATCCAAGTACCTTATGTCTCCTTCAGATTTTGAAAAATAGCTCAAGCTTGAAACATATGAATATCAATCAAACTGGGACTTTTAAGCCAGATGGAATGAGTAGTGAGGCAAATACGCAATCTCTGGATAAGTATGGGAATGAAGTCAGAGAATTTGTGATCGAACATCCTCCTGTAAATCTTCAAACTAGAAGCTCTTATTCATTAAGTGTGACATGATCTAATAATTTTAATACTCATGAAAATAATGAGAAAGAGAATAATGATTACAATAATAAGGTATTGATACAGAAACTAAAATTCTGTTGCATACATTGATTTTGAGGGAATATGCAATTTCCAATAAATCTCTTATTTTGTCTTTTATTACTGTTTCTTTATTTAAAATTTAGATTTATACAAAATACCTACCCCAGTATCAAAAAGGTAAGTTATTTTTCTCAATTAAACTTCCTCCTTTTTTCTGTAATCAATTTTCAAATTAATTTTCAAATTTCATTATTTTTGAACATATTCAGCAAAAATTTGCCTAATTGTTTCTCTAACAAGCCATACTGCCTATACTACACAGAGATATTGATTTATCTCTTTTCTCTCTCGCTCAGATGCTTCATTTACATTCTTTTTTATCGCATAGCCTGGCCCTTCTATATCATTAAGCCTATTCCTTAATTAATTCAACTGTAGGACCTCAGATTATAGTCCATCATGATCTTGAGTCTGAACCAGATAAGCTAGAGAGAATACAGCACAAGAGAGCTCTCTCTAAGGTCCCTAGTACAGAGCTTAGCAAAACAAGGCTTGAAAAGCAACATACAAGACATGGTGCCAGCACCAATAGTCTTCTGGATGGCCTTTACAATCGGAGTAAAGATAAATGAACCCATTGCGCTAAATATTCAGACTTAGATAGAGAGACAGAACTCCAGAATAAGAAATAGCAGATTTGATCATGAAAGATACTCGCAATCGAGAAATAAGTCAAGATCTCCTTTCTTTCATAGTGTAAATTCTCTAGATTCAGGAGGAATCTGTAGGAAAAGTCATAAAAGTGGCAATAGTTCAATTGAAAGGGAAAGAATTATGTATGAATCTCAACCAAATTCAAGGCTGAACAGTAGGAATAGATCCTCTGTGGTTAGAAGTAAAATAGAACCCCTTAGAAAGAGCCCAATATTAATCAATGTCAAGAAGCTAGACCAACTTAATCCCCATAGTTTTAGTGTAAACCAAGATGTGTTTAAGGTAGATTTTTTATAGCTAACTTTTAGGAAAATGCTTTCAAAAATAATATGTATAATAATGGGATGCGAAGCGCTATAAATATGCCTCTCGCTCCACATATTGAAAGTTACTTAGATAAAAAGCTGCATGAGACTAATGAAACCCCTGAGATTGAGAAAGAATCTTTACATACAGATGAAAACCAAGAAGAGCATGAGAAACTAGACATTACAGATGATGCAGCATTGACGAATCATCAAAAGCGGATTAAATGAATCTCTACTAATGCAAAACTCGAGGCTAAGAAGAAAATGAAGAGGTTTAAGAGATCTACAGTTTGTTCAAACAGCCGAATATCTATTAACTCCAAAAGGTCAAAATCTAAGCATTCTAAATAAGAGGAGATCTTGCAGTCGAAATAACAACAGCACTAATAGATCTAACAAAAAGTTAAAAAAGAATCCTAAGAAGTGAATACCTCTAGTAAAAAGAAGTGATAGAAAGCCTAGACTACCGCCAAAGACGACTTCTTCTAAAATGAGGCCAAAGTTGAAGAAGTTAACTACAACTCCTCACTCAAGTAATTTCCGTGAAACCCCATGTGGGTCTGAATTTCAAGAGACACTGAAGGAATGAACCGATTCGAAATTTCTTGAAGTTATCGATAACCTCAGAGAGCTAAGACGGAAGAACTATTTAAGTACCGAAAACCAGGTCTCGGCCTCTTCAAAGACCAGCAGAAGTATTAAGACTGAGATTGAATTTGAAACATCTGTTGTCGAACTGATCAATGCCTACAACAAATGCATGGGGAGTCTTAAGGCATATAACTAGTTCAACAACCAAAGGATTTATAGGGGTTTTGGGGTTTTGGGGTTTTGGGG